TGTTGAGGAATCAGCAAAATAAAAGTACATTCTGTTTTTTAGCAAGGATTAAATACCGTTAAGTTGCCTTTGTCTTTGATTGTAGTTATGTCATAGATAGTTTTGGTAGTATAATTGTTACAAACAACAAAACACGTAGCTATAATTTCTTCCAAGTCATGAAGCAAAGCTAGTGTTGCATTTTTTGTGAGACATAGTAGGCAAAGTGGGAAAGTGAAGAAAGCAATGATGAGGTCTGTGATTTGGCTCATATCTGGCGACAGCATTTTGCACATTTGAATAAGTCTTATACTTAAGAGGATTACATACTCTAAAGTGGCTTTGAATTTGATTGTAGTCATTTCTTAGGTAATAGCCATTAGGTACTAAAAACAGACAGTTGCAGTGAAATGTAGCAAGTTGCGGAAATTCAGTAGTGTAACTTAAAACATTATAACTGTAGACAGACTGTTGCAGTGAGAGGTTGACACACTATGTAAATTGTGACATGTAGTCTGCATTTAAGTTGCAGAAGTTAGGTAGTTGATCTTCAGGGAAGGAAGTTTAGAACTTGAACAATGGCAGGAAAAAATGGGTGTAGTTTGTTTTGCTGATTCCTTTGAAGTCATGTAGATTCCAAACTTTGTTATCACTGTTTATAGACTTGTAGCAGCTCTTACCTCCTGTTGCAAAATTTAAGGCTTGTCTCATGTTGATGTAGTAAAGTTTGACAGTGATGTGTTACGCTGACAGACTTTATTTCATGAGCTTGAGTCTGCTTGGCCTGGATTTTGGAACAGGAGAGTTGAATTGCTACACGTATATGTTAACAGTGATAACAAAGTTTGTCAATGACAGTTTCCAGGGGTGCCAGAGTGTAAAGTGCAATTTTACGGAATACAGTGCAATTTTACTAATGACGTTGAATGACGTAACCTGGGCCCGGCTTTCCAGGGATGCCGCTGACTCACATATTTCTGTGTTTTTAAAAAAAAGAAATGTGAGTCAGCGGCGTTTGCCATCTTGAAACTCAAAGAAAGCAGGGTCCAAGTCACGTGATTCAATGTCACTAGTAAAATTGCACTGTATACTCTGGCACCCCTGGTTTCTATCACTGCATGACAAAACACAATTCCTCTCTTTCTGTATGCCACTCACATGTAGTATGTCAAACTTTTCCAACAAACTCCCAAACACTCATCAGGCCAACCTCCCCAAACATTAAATTTGCCAGGCAAAAAAATTGCCCTCACAAAATTCCTCTTGTTGTTGAATGCCAGGTTGTCCACAAATTTGCTTTGGATTTGTTTAAACATTAAAAGTGAAGTCAAATTTCCCCCTCCCCCATAATTTGTTTTGGGGTCAATTTTCCCGCCAAAAATCAGAATGATTGTGACCCTCACCTGTTTAGTTAATTGGATTAAATTTTTCCCGCCAAAAAACTTAGTATATACAGCACTCTAACCTTGAACTTGTGCCCACCTCCCACACTTCTTCCACAACTCACACAGTATGTTAGTTACACTCTTCCAACACTTTGGATATGTAACTTCTCCGAACATGTAGTCACCACACTCTGCTATCTAAACACTTGTTCGAGTGCAGTGCAGTTCTCTAGAATAATGTCTCCCTCTCCTGGTCAGTCAATTGCACTGGTATACTGATGTTTCGAAGCATCAATGTCTCCGGAAAGACATCCCACGGGGATACACTTAGTGCATTGACCAACCAGGAGAGCGAGACATTATTCTAGAGTCTTGTGGCGGAAACACTGCATCGAACAAGTGTTTAGATAGCAGAGTGTGGTGACTACATGTTCGGAGAAGTTACATATCCAAAGAAGTCCAAAGTGTTGGAAGAGTGTAACTAACATACTGTGTGAGTTGTGGAAGAAGTGTGGGAGGTGGGCAGGAAGTGTGGGGAGGGGGGCACAAGTTCAAGGTTAGAGTGCTGTATATACTAAGTTTTTTGGCGGGAAAACTTAATCCAATTAATTAACCAGGTGAGGGTGCCAATTAGTTTTGGTGGGAACAGTTTAAAAGGTACAAACAACAATTTGGGGGCCAATTTGGTACATTCCACTACACAAAGAATTAAAGGGGCTGTCTTGGATACTAGGAATGGGTGGAAAAACATGATTTTTAAGTGTGAAGGTCTGAGGGTTTTTTTGGCAGGAAGATTTCACTCAACTACGTGTTAGGAGAATTTAAGTGTAAGGTCCAAAGCGACGTTTTTGTGGCAATTTGACATATTCAACTACACAGTACTAAAGAATGAAAGGGGCCGGCGGGAAAACGTGTTCAGAGATTTTAAGTGGGAAGGTCCAAGCGACAATTTTGGGGCAATTTGGCACATTCAACTACACAATACAAAGAATTAAAGAGACGGTCAAGTTTTTGGGCAGAAAAACGTTTTTGGACATTGTATGTGAGAAGGTCCAAGCGACAATTTTGGGGTCGAATTTGGCACATTCAACTACACAATACAAAGAATTAAAGGGACGGTCAAGTTTTTGGGCAGGAACGTTTTTGGACATTGTAAGTGTTAAGGTCCAAGTGACAATTTTGGGGCAAGGGGCTGGGCGAATTTAGGCGGATTCAACTACACAATACAAAGAATTAAAGGGACGGTCAAGTTTATGGGCAGAAAAACGTTTTTGGACATTGTACGTGGGAAGGTCCAAGCGACAATTTTGGGGCAATTTGGCACATTCAACTACACAATACAAAGAATTAAAGGGGCGGTCAAGTTTTTGGGCAGGAACGTTTTTGGAGATTTTAAGTGTTAAGGTCCAAGCGACAATTTTTGGGCAAGGGGCTGGGCGAATTTAAGCGGCTGGCTAAGATATTAAGTTGTTTGGCGCAAAAACTTCAATCAACTACATGTTCAAAGGATTTGGGTAAAGTTGGCACATTCAACTGTACACAACTTTTCAGTTAGATAGTTTTTTGGTGGGAAAATTTTGGGGCAAATTTTGGGGCAATTAGGCCTATTCAACTACGCAATCCGAAGGTTTTTTCAGGATACTTGTCGTGGAATTTGGCTACGATAAACATTTAATGGACCCTCAGAGTAGAGACCTGGGCAAAAGAGAGAGAGAGAAATGTGAGTGCACCTGAGGGCATGTGGAGTGTTGTCTCGTGTTAATAAAGAAAGCATACTCACACCTCCCCATCTTTCACACAGCTCGGCCGATAAAAGTCTGGTTGTTCCTCCCGCTCATTCCGGTCTTCCGAGTTCACATCTTGAAGACAGAGAAACAGAAGTCAGTGTATTGAAAACAGCAATTGACCAAGTAGCACTGAAAATTATGTCACACAACTTACAGGTTTATACAAGCTTTAATAATCCAAAGTATGTACAAAAGACAATTTACTATTCCAAATGCTCAGATGTAGCAATTGTTTGTTCAGTCCACAACATCTCATCATTTTCAGCGCCAAAACAAAATTGCACACTCTCCAGTATTAAGCTCAAGACCTTTTTAAATTTAATTGTTAATGATTCTCTTGTAATATGCGTCTTAACACATCAAAGAAGAATGGAACATGCAAGTTCTCACCTGTACAAACTCTTCACTTCACTGTGTCTTCTGGTTTGCTGAGCCCGCCAGCTCTTGTCTGGTTTGGTTTGGTTTTCCATCATCACAGGTTTCTCCCAGTCAGGACAGGAACACACCTAATGTTGTAAAGAATAGTGTCAAATCAAAAAAACATTTCCACGCAACATTGCATGACTCTAAAACAGAATGATAAAATTCTACATGTGAACAAAAAGCTTGGAGTGTTTTTTAGGTGTTACTGGTGGCATGTCATGCCTCCAACTTATGACCTAGGAAACAAAAGAGACAAAAATTACTTAATACAATGTATATAAAATAAGTCGTAAACCATTATCTCACCTGTAGAAACTCTTCACTTCAGTGTGTCTTGGTTTGCTTAACACTCATCTCGTCTGGTTTGGACAGGTTTCTCCCCGTCAGGACAGGATCATCAGGCAGCTATGAATGAACGTAAAAAGAAAGTGAAATTATTAAAAAGCAAGTAGGGTGTTTTAAAGATGTTACTGGTAGTATGTCATGTCTTGGAGTTCATAACACACCAAAGAAAGTATGAAAAAGGAACATGACAATGATTGAAGTTGTATAGCACAATGTCTCACCTTTACAAACTCTTCACTTCACAGGTGTCAAGGTAACAGGTTTGCTGAGCACTTATTTGGTCTGGTTCAGACAGAAGTCACCTGTCATCACAGGTTTCTCCTTGTCAGGACAGGAACATCAAGACACACCTACGCATGAAAAAATAATTAATGCAAAGCAACAACGATCAACCAGCTAAATACAATCAACACTTGCATGTACCCTAATTTGAATGTATACATTTCTTCTTTTCTGCCAGGCATTATAGCAATGTTTCACTCAAAGTAATTTAAGAAACTAGATCCCCTAATTTATCCTATGTGAGTTCATCCTCATAATATTCACAACAAAGAAAACCAGTAAAAATACTATGTATGTTGACTGTCTATACTTGCACCCTTGCTGAAATGAGGACATATGTTATGAAATACATATTTACCTGAACATGTTTCATGTTTATATTCTTCAGTGCCTTCATCTGGTCTGGTTTGTACAGGAGCTGATGGACATCATCACAGGTTTCTCCCAGTTAGGACAGGAACATCAGGACACAACTGAATATCATAAGAATACTTAAGTGTGATGCCAAAGAATATTTCCATAACATGTTACAGCTGACTCTCATGACTACAAAGATGTGTAGCCTTTGTGTGAAAGAATAATTAGTGTGATAAAAAAAAGAATCTCCAGGCAATGCCGAATTAACATAAAAGCTAATAATATCATAAAATTGAACAATCCATATGTTTGAATAGATGTACACTGTAGGAGGTGTTAGGCTATTGAAAGGTGTTTTATTTTTAAACTTAAAACCTGTTTCTGGTCATGGTAATGTGTCATGATGATCATGTGTATTGTAAAGCACTATCTCACCTGTACAAACTCTTCTCTTCACCATATCTTCAAGTCAACTGGTCTGGTTTGTACAGAAGTCACCCATCATCTCCCAGTTAGGATAGGAACATCAGGACACCTATTAGTAAGTAAAAAGAATAATTAGTTCAAGAATAATTACCACTAGCAACCATGTCTAAAAATGATAAACACTTGTACTTGACATGTTGCTTTGCCTCCCTAGAAATTGCACAAACAGTGTGCACTAAGTCACTCATTTATTTATTTGATCAGACAATTCATTCAAATATATAATCTATAGACGACAAAATCAGTTAGAAGACTACTTAGTAATACATGCTTTTATGTGTTACTGGTTGTGTGTTATTTTAATGAGATGTGAGATTTATAGTAAGGGAAAGAAAGTTGAGAAGTGCTAATTAAAAGTCATGTACATTGTCTCACCTGTGGATTCTGTATCTTGTTCTTTTGTCTTCAAATCGGCTGGTCTGGCCCAACATCCAAATGTTGACAGCTATGGACAGGAGACATCACTACTGCATCAGTCAGCAGCCACCTAACTATACAACAATATATGTTACATATTTGTATAAAAAAACACCAATTATAAATGGTAAGTAGATTGCAGAATTCAGATTTTTCTCACCTGATATTCATCAGATTTCTGGAGTCTTCAAATCACCTGGTCCTGGTCAGCTTTAGACAGCAGACTTCACTACTGCATCAGTCAGCAGCCACCTAACTAAAGACCATTACAAAGTTACACATTTATCTTAAGTAACACCAAGTAAATGGTAGGCAAAATACAGAAATCAGTTTTTCTCACCTGATATTCTTCTGGAGTCTTCAAATCACCAAGTCTGGTCTGGTCCAGTCTTCTCTTGTCAGGTTCAGGCAGGAGTCAGCATCAGTCAGCAGCCACCTAACTATACAACATTATATGTTACATATTTGTTTTTAAAACACCAAGTATGAATGGTAAGTATATTGCAGAATTCAAACTTTTCTCACCTGATATTCATTTGGAGTCTTCAAATCACCAGGTCTGGTCCAATCTTCTCTTGTCAGGTTCAGACAGGAGTCAGCATCAGTCAGCAGCCACCTAACTATACAACATTATATGATACATATTTGTTTAAAAAAACACCAATATTACAAATGATAAGTAGATTGCAAAATTTTTGTCACCTGTATTCCTCTGGGGTCTTCAAATCACAGGTACAGACAGGAGACATCACTACTACATAGACATCTGAAGCCACCTAACTATACAACATTTTAATTTACACACTTGTTTCAAATAACACCAATGAAATGGTAGGTAATACAATTCAGATTTTTCTCACCTGGCCTTATACTTCTGTATCCGATTGTCTGGTAACTGTCATCACAAGTCTCATCTCATTAGGACAGAAACACCTGCACAGTTAGCTGACCCTCAGGACACAGATAACTGTCATTCTATGGAAAGATATCTACAGGTTCTTACCAGCCCTGGTACACATTGTAGAATGTGAATAAAAGTACTGAACAAATCCATGCAACTAGATCTAAATTTTTATGAATTGATTTAAGAAAATATTGGTTGCTAGACAGTGTACGCCATTCATAAAGAACTGTGATTAAAACAATTTTTTTTTAAATTTCTTTACTTTAAAACTGATGAAGACCTCGACAAAAACAACACATCATGACTGCATAACATAAAACATGGATGGTAACAACGAAAAAAAATCGAACCACTTCATGTGACACTGCATTTGTAAACTTGGTGCAATTTGTAGTGTTTGGAAACTGTTACAAGTGTTGGCGCTATAAATTAATGGCCTTTACAAACAGGATTTCATGTGTCCAAAAATGGAATGAACAAGCTTTTCAAATGATGATACATACAATACAAATGATAACAGAAGAAAGGAGACTTATTCCCTTGTTTTAAGCATTTAATCATGCACACGTGCAAATTCCGAAAGGTGTTTTTGAGCCACGTGGTGAAAAACAAAAGGCAGTTTTTGTTACAGCATTCTTTTTCAGAAATATGTCACTCAAGGCGTTCTGTAGTTGACAAGTAAAACAGGAAATGAACAAGCTTTTCAATAATACACTATACAATGCAAATGATATAACTAACTAACGTTTACTTTATATAACAGAAGAACGGAGCTTGTTGAAGAATCATGCACACGTGCAAATTCCACTGGGTGTTTTGAGCCACGTGGTGAAAAAGAAAAGGCAGTTTTTGATAGTTCTTTTTCAGAATATGAATTCACGGCATTGTGTAATTGACAAATAAGACATTCACATACGCCTAACACTGTACAAGCATGGAGGTCCATGGTACAAGCACACCGCACATGGAAACTGTTTTTAAAATGCGCGGCTCTTTAAAAAGTTTAAGGCTCTTTCAATCAGCAATGGCCGCTCGAAACTTAGAGAACTGTGTCATTTCTTTCTGAATATAAGTTTTCAGACATGGCATGTTCTTACTATTTGCTACGGAACAATGTTAGCCAATAGTTTGTTCAAGTTTAACGTTACCTGTAAGAAAAGCGAAGTCGCCTTTGAATCACCCTCTGTCTCCCAACGATGTCGCCATTTTCTCGTCTTCTCGAATCCGCATTTTCTCCTCAAAACATCGAGAGAACGGCATAATTATACCGCTAAAAGTTCCCTACATTCTACTCTACACTTTAGAAAGACATTCCTCGGATAAAAACTCGAGAAAGTACCCTGAAAGTTGCACAAAAATAACATCCGAGAGAATCCTCGTGGTACCAGACCGCCATTTTGTTGAGGGGACCATGCCGAATGAGTTTCTGCACAGGTGTGCAAAACAGCCTTGTCTAATTAATATGGCGCTGCTGATCTAATTACGAAGACAAATTCAATCTTAAAAAAAGGAAAAACGGCTTAGAAATATATCATTTCCCGCCAGTATTACACACAAAGTTTCCACTAAAAGCTTTTTGGATACATGTACGTTGGTTACAGGTTTTGGGTTCGAATGTTAAGTTGAAACTTCTACCTCCATGCTCCAATACACATTGTATCTCTCATATATTACATATACTTGTCGAGCACTTGTACCAAACATGTCAGTCGTCATTTACTCAGTTTTCTTCCTTTGTATTACCCGAGCGGGTTTTCAGCTTTGCCTGGTAGCCAGACCATCGGGCGCTCCCCGGTATGTTTACGGCGCTGGGAGTGCTGCCCTCCCGCCCGGGATATTCCGTACGCCCGGGAATTTTCACGGGGTTGGTTTCAGAGACCGGCTGGAAATATAGGCTACCAGAAAAGACTTTGGCTTAGAGGAATTGGTTTTGGACTAAGAAAACCCATCTAAGCCTGAATTTCCTAAGAATGCGAGCAACGTACAACAGCTACGGGGGACGCTACGGGACTTTTCGCGGGCGAAGTCTGCCGCTGGTCCCGAGGACATAGCTCCTCCAACGCGGTGAACTTTTCGCCGTGATTTTCATGGAATTCGTCTTCTCAAGTCGGGCCCTTTGCACAGAATATGTTGGTCTTGACTAATTCAGTTGTCTGGCGTCTGTATCATCGAGTATTAAAATGTTTTAGCCTTGGTTTTAGCCTGGTAATCATGCCACGGGAGCTCCCTGGCATCTCTACCGCGCTGGGAGTGTTCCCCTCCCGCCGGGCACGTTAACGCACGTCGGGGCATTTTTAAGGGGTCGGTTTCGATAATTTTAGCACGACAGTGAGCAGAAAGGCCCACTAGAAAGATAGGCTGCCAGGAAAAGACATATTCTTACAGCAATTGCCGGTGAAACACATTCAATTCGGCCCGTGAAAAAAGGTTACCAAGGCTAGATCAACTCAACACCGAGCCTCGCCTCGTCTCCTTGGATTTTTAGCAGTTTAACTGACGCACGCCAAAGATACCTTGGATATTTAGAAAGACAAGTGTCTTCAGAACTTAAATCAATTCATAAAAGTTACCTGTATTGCATACTTTCTCCACTTTGCTCCAAGAAACATCACAGTACGGTCCAGAAAACAATTCAATGGCTGCCATCCGAGCAGTCGATTATCAGACTGCATCGTATATTTTTGGCCACGTGTCAAAAATGCCGCCTGGCGGATTACAATGGTACTTGTCAATGGTAAAATTGCCAATACGAATTTACATTGTTTATTTAAGAGCGACCCCTAGCAGCTAATGATATTAGTGCTTCGAATTGACTACGTGTGCGAAAGACGACGACCCAATCAGAAGAGACATTACAAAACAACTTTTGGTTAAGAATCGATTGGACATGCCTATTGGTCGGTCAAACAGCAGCCACTATATACAGTGCACTGATTAGTCAATTTGTTTGAGCATCGGGTTATCACCGTATAACAGTTTCCCGAACATGCGCCGAACAACACACCCGTCCTACTCCGCTTAAACAAAGTAGTCCCTACAAACTATCAGAATTTCGTGTTAAACAGCTTAATATTTGCTCTAAATATCATTTTGCCATAAAAGAATATTTCTAAAATGTTAATTTTCAATAGATCATTGAGCAATAACCATGATTATATATTTTGCGGCTATAGTTGTATCATTTCGCAATGTGAGCGGATTGACTAAGTGTGCCAACCAATCAGAAGAGACATTAGAAAACAACCTTTGGTTAAGAATCTATTGGACATACGTATTGGTCAATCAGCAGCCAATACATACAGTGCACTGATTAGTCAATTTGTCTGAGCATCGGGTCATCACCGTATTATTAGTACCGAACATGCGCCGAACAACACACCCGTTTTACACCGCTGGAACAAAGTAGTCCCTGCAAACTATCACAATTTCGTGTTAAAAACAGCTTAATATTTATTCTAAATATCATTTTGCCATAAAAGAATATTTTTAGAATGTTAATTTTCAATAGATCATTGAGCATTAACCGTGATTATATATTTTACGTTTACCGGGTTGCCCAAGAGGTCTTGGCGGGCGTGCACCAATCTCATCACCGAAGAAATTCCGGCAAGTTTACGATCGGCTTGCCCGGCTATGACAAGTAAAACTCCCACCACGTAAAAGTCAAAACAGGTGGGAGTCAAACGGCTTTTATCTATCGATAAGAAAGTTAACCGACTGTTGATACATTTTATAGCCAAGATTAGCTGATTTTGCGACTACGTTCGTAGCGTTACACTGGCTGCACTGTGTGTGTTGAAGCGGCCGCTCTGAGTCGGTTGAACCATTGCTAGTTGAACCCACTTGAACGTCAAAACACGAAAATCTGGTCTAGAAGCCAAGGAGAGGGGCACACGCAAAAGTACCTAAGTAACGGGTTCCTCCCTCAGTACTCGGTGTTCAGTACTGAAGGTGCCTTCCGAACTGAACTTCCAGTTCGGAAGTTCTGTCAGAACTGGGCGTCCAGATCTGAGGCGACTTCAGAACTGGAAAACTCTTAATCAGTTCTGGAAACCGAGAACTGAACGTTCCTTCCGTACTGGAAACGCGGAGCGGCTTTGGCCTGAGTATAGCCCGGCTTATAAGCGCTGCCGGGCGGTAGTAAAGCCGGGCAAGCTGCCGGACGGCCGCCGCAACATAAGGCGTTCAACACGGCTGCCGGAGGACAACGAGACCACCTACAGGAAGCGTCTACGGGAGACGAGAGAAACTGAGGCGGCTAACAACGAAGAGCGGGCTGTTGAAGATCGGCACATCGACCAGTTATAGACTAGTTTATACGTTGGTGATGTCAGCAAGGCTACTTCTACTACTGAGACATATCGTATTCAGTACTGGAACATCCCAGTACAATTAGAACGTGAGAACAGGAAGCCCAGTTCGGAAATAATTCGAAAACTCGGCTTCCAGTACTGTAGAGTCACTTTTTACTGGTCAATCTAGTACGGAACCCGTTACTTAGCCTATCATAGGTACATCGACACTCGGCTTTCCAGTACTGAATGACCTCCGAACTGGGTAACCAGTACTGAATGACCTTTGTACCAGCCTTCCTGTAGCCGGGACGCAACACAGTACTGGGGTCCGAGTACCGACGGGCGTTCAGGTCTGGAAAACGAGTTCCGAAACAAGATTCAGTTCTGAACTTCCAGTTCTGACGAAGCTTCAGTACTGGAATAACGCCGTTCCGAACTGGAATTCTAGTTTAGAGCTTTCTTCAGAACTGGGCGCCGAGTATCGACGCTATTTTCTCCATGGTTTCCGTACTGGGCGCCCAGTAAGGAACCCGTTACTTTCGTACCTTTGCGGGGCACACATCCGTGTTTTTTAGTCCACAACCTACGGGACGCTGTGGCTAAAACAGAGGGAGGCAACCCTGGAAGCGCGAGTCAGTACCAGGGCCAGGCCCGGGGGCTAGGCCGGTTCGTATTCGGCCTGCTAGCGGCAATCTGACAGACCGGCCAACGTATTATACGGCGCGGCGTGTCTGAGACTGTTGGGACTGCCTGGGAGAGGGGAACATCTGTGTTTTGTTAGTCCACAAGTTACCGGACGATGTTTGTGGCTTTAAACGTGAGAAAAACAGAAGAGGGGACCATGGAAGTGCCTGTCAGTACCAGGGCCAATCCCAGGCCGGTTCGGACGGCCCGCTGAGTGTCAATCCAACGGTGCGGTACGGAGTGGCGTATACTCGGGCCGGCCGGCCCGCGACAGTTGGATTCCAGCGGGATGAATGAACCGCCCTAGCCCCACAGTATTCTCCAGGGTCGAGGAAAGTCGCCATCTTTCTACCTTTGCTTGTAAAATGACCTAAAAATTTACCGCTGAGCGCCGGAGTTCTCCGTAGATCAACACCGGCTCCCTCCCTACAACCACCCGGCAACTTTTGCGACCAAGCCCGCCGAAAACACCCCCAACACTACGCCTTCTCTTTCTCACAAGCACTTTATGTCATGATATTGAGTTATTTGTGATAGAAATTAGGCGATTCCGCCTAAAAATTTGTTGTAATTCGGCGATACGAGCTGTTGTAGTAGCGCTGAGTTCGTCAACATAGCCACTTCCTGTTGCCGCGGCTTCGTCACTCAGTGTCTGAAAAATGATGCATTTTGCAAACGGCGAAACCGCGAGAGCCCGAAAAAATCAAGTAAAACTTCAAAGTACACCCTTTCTCTTCCGTGGCGTTTGTATACTATTTTAAATGTACGACAGAACCGTTCAAAACTCACTGAAAATACTCAGCGTTTTCTAGAAAAGTTAAGATTTGTAGGTCGATCAAGTATCAAACGTAAAACCCCAAAGCACCCCAATTTCGGGCGGTTGGAAACCCACTCGCGGATTTGGGCGATTTGGGAATGTGCCAAAATCAATGGGCTCGTGAGGGGTTTTCAATTTTTTACAGAATTTTTAATATTACGACTTTGTAAATAAGTTTACAAGCGGAAAACATATCATTACCTCCATGAAAAATGTCTGTCTGTGTGTGTGTATGTGTGTTTGTGTTTCCGGCCAGCATAACTTTTAAACCTTTGGGTGGATTGTAATGATATTTGGTATGTGGATAGGTGTTGGGTAGCCAAAGGTCAAGGTCGATTTTGGGCCTCCTGGTGGCTGACCTTGGTACTGCAGCAGAATTTCCGGTTTTTGTATCTTTTGTCCTGGACATGCTATGGTCTTGAATTATGAGTGGTGGATAACTCTTCCTGGTGTGGTCCCCCTAGCAGCTTGTTCTGGAACTGCATGGGGGTTTCTGGCGAAACCTTTCAAAGCAGATAAATTCACAAAGAAACAATGTATTTTTATGGTTTTTGGTATGTGGGTAGCTTAGACAGAGATATATATTATTGGATGCAAATTATGCATATGATGACTTCATTTGCATAATTAATGAGGAAATTCTATAGTGTTTTACATCATGGGACTTTGGTACATGTATTGTTTATAATCTATGGCAGGTGGAATATCACGAGATACCAATTATGCAAATACTGACCTAATTTGCATAATTTATCTGAAAATTCTATGACTCCTTAGTGGTAAATTAATGTTATGTGCAACTTTAAAGCATAAAAGTGACTTGACATTACACAGAAGATGCTTGAGTGTATTAGAGGATATCTGCAGTATCATAAACTTAACCTATCTTATATGAAAAGTTCTATGTAACATAGATTTACACCAGTTTTTTTATTTTATGTTCAAAGGAATACATGTATTTTACTACACTGAACCTGATCTATACCTTGGTAGCATAAAAAAAGTAGAAAAACACAAAATTTAATGAATAAATCGAAGTATCAAACTGGATTCAAAGAATAGTTCCCAAACAATCTCATACAAATGTAGCACAATTACAACAGGATAACTTTTTTCTAACAACAAGAATAAATACCATTATTGTATTCACTCTCTGTAGGTAATATAACACATGTACAATAATATGGATGCTATGCTTCTTGCAGAGCTACATGTAAGAAGAGATCTGTATAATTATAAAGACAGGAATATTCAAATATTTCATCAAATGTACAATGATAGTTTTGGCGCTTTGAGACACCTATAACATAGAATGACAGTGAGAGGCTTCATCAACAATGTTTTGACAGCTACAGGCTTGTACCCTTAGGAAAAAAGCAACTAAGAATACATAGCTAGAGTACAATACAAAGAAATGATACATGTAGTTTTGGTGCTTTGAGACATACACACATAGAATGACAGTGAGCTGCTTGATAATACATGTATCATCAAAAATGTTTTGACAGGTGTGTATAGGAAAAAAGCAACTAAGAATACATAATTTATACAATCATACATAGCTAGAGTACATAGAAATGGCAGCATAGAGTTTCATATAAATGTAACTTTTTTTAGATAGACCAAACCTAACAACAATACATACATGTATAAGCAGTTGATTTCCACATATTCCACAGCTAAACTATGATTAAAGCTACATTCAGCTAGCACCACACTTATATATAGAATGATATAATAAAAGATCTGCCACTTTACTTAATAGATGTTTTCATCATAAATCTTAACCTTTATATCTTTACAAGTCCAAGAAGTAAGTCCCCATCGATTCTAGTGCACATGTGGTGAAATACAGCAAAATTTAATGTTCTATATACATTTGTCACTTGATCTGACAGGAATATTGCTCTACATGATTGCCAGTTAATATTAATTTGGTTCATTGCAATATACTTATCTACAACACAAACTGCTGCACTGGAACCATGTAATCTTTCACCTTAGCAAAATATTATGTTCATATAAATATTTTTCAAAGCAAACATGGCCAGTACCATGCAATAGGCTGAACAAGTCAAATTTAAGTATTCAAATTTTAAACTTGCAAATGCATGAATACAATACAGTGTGCAAAAAAAAATCTAGTAAGCAAACGTCAGAAAAAAGTTAGTCTACCCCTCCCGTATACTGTAATTCCTGATTTTTAACTTGTACTTTTATGTCCATGATTTTCCCAAACACTTCTCATTAAGTTCTGTGAACATGTCCATTTTCCTGGCAAAGACCACATGTGATCGCTCACGAACATGCAAATGAGGACAAAGTGAATTACATTAACTTGTTGTTATACAGTAACCTGTTGTTATTTGATCTGTGTGACTGTGAAGGGACATGACGATGACACCATTTTCCTGGTACAGACTGTATGTAACTGCTCACGAACATGCAAATGAGGACAAAGTGAATTACATTAACTTGTTGTTATACAGTAACTCGTTGTTATTTGATCTGTGCGACTGTGAAGGGACATGATGAAGACACGGTGAGGAGAAATGGGCCCTCCTGTCCAGCACGGAAGGTACAGGGGGTGAGGTTGTAGGTGCCGCCGGGGACATTCTCCAGTTCCAGCACACAGTACCCATGTCTGGAAAACATTGTGACAGTTTTCATCAGGTTACTAGAACAAGCACGTCGGCAGAACGTACAGGAAACCTGTAATATATTCTGCATAGCACTTCGGCAGAACATCTCATATAAGGTCGTATACAAGGTTAACATCCTGTCTGTAGTTTCCAAATGTTATGTCGGAAAAGATATGATTGGAAGTTTCTGTTCTGTTATGTATACGAAGTTATGACTTTATGTTTCTTTCATACATTCAATTATTAGGTATAATACATTCAATATCTCCACAAAGAAGGTTGTATTTTTTAATACATGGCTGAAAATCAGCACCAAGGACAGTGTGAAAATTATTTTAAAAATCAGCATCATCAAAGGCATGCCTGGAACCTGGAACTATTCTGATACATCAGAAGTTATGACATTGTTTTCTACATACTTTATTAGATATGATGCATTCAATATCTCTATTGAAAATCAGCACCAAGGACAGTACCAATGCAGTTCAAGTGACCCGTCAGCTTGATGCCTTTGTCACATAGATATAAAATAATGAATTCAACAGTGCCAACAAGTGGGTTATGTTTTCACCAAGAACATGGTTCAAAATCAGCACCAAGGACACAGCCACATAACCACACTTGATAAGGTAACATTTGCAGACCTTCACATATGGTCTGCTCTGTTAATTCTTACTAAAACACATTCATATATATGGTCAGACAGGAGTCTAAATCCCTCTTGCTATAAAACTGCAACATGAGGTTATCCAACACTATTAATTACTATGGGGACAGACATCTCGTTCAGGTCATTGACCTTATTGGTTTGGAGAAGAAGAGGTAACAGAGCAAAAACAATATGTTTTCCTTTGATAAACATAATAACCAGGATTTATTCAAATTAATACAATCTTTATCATCATAGACATGTCTTTATTAAGCTTCCTGCATAATTTCAAAGACCACAAGTACTGTATGCCCAGCTGAAGTGAAGAGATTCTCACCTGAAGTCACCTGAAGCGGCTCTCTGGAAGGCGCCCGGTGACTCTGCATCTCCTGTCAGTGTGACTGTCTTCACATCAAACCCTACACTGTACTGCCTGCAAACATACAGACAAACTTGTCAACTTTGGTATTAATTAAATCAAAATTAAAACCCCCCTCCCAAAGTTTTGTAACACCATCAGGAGTAAATGAGATAGAAAACATGTCACCAACTGTGATTGGTCAAGGAAAATCTAATTAATACCAAGTATAGCTGGGATCCCTAATATATGGAGTCCCCAGAACTGCATGAAGATTAATTCTAACATACTGTAAATCACTTAATGTTTGCAGTAGCAAAAGTTTGCAATCTGAGAAAAATGGACATACTGTATTTGCAGAACTACATGTACAATGAACAAAGAAAGTTGGCACATTATTACCTCCGGGGGAGGAGACATCCTTCCGCGGAAGGGTTTTGTGAGAGATTTAGATTTTCATGTTCGCAGCTGTTTCTCGCGTTTGGGTGGACGGATTCTTTTGAGACTCGGTATATGTTTTGCTATTGGGCTGCAGATGATGCACGTTCTTTTGTTTTTATTGTATATGTGTTTTCGGGCGTGAAAATGGTGCCTTTTGGTGCCCCCAAAACACCCCTTTAAGCGTAAAAGTGGTCGCGACCGTTGACCTTTGGCGTGTTTAAGCTATTCTCGGTCTGGTCCACGTATATGACCGCTCACACAGAGGGGTGTCCGGTATCGATAAATTCTTTGTTTAAAACCCTATATAAAAATATACAATAAAAGCCCGGAGGTATAAAATCTCAGATTTTACTTGTTTCTTCACTGTAATGATAAGTTTGCAGTACAGAAGTGGACACAAAAACTGCGAATATAAAAGTACATGTACTGCAAAAAAAATCGTGTTTACAGTATTGTATAATGGATATCCCTTACTTGGGTCCTTTCAGCTCCAGTAGTACGTGGTTGTTGTTGGCACTGTTCTGGAGGGTAAACTGGAAGACCGGGTTGTTAGGGTAGGTGGCTGGGTTGTTCCCACACCCTCCAGCACTGGACCCCTTCCACTGTCCACTCACCTATACAAAACAACAGGACACACAGGGCTTAAAATACAGTACTTTTTTTCGATTCTGCATACCTGCACTCATCTGGTGCAGGCAACATTGAAAATTACCTGCACCAGAGTAATTTTACCTGCACCACTCAGAATTTAGGAAGTATGGATCACACTAAAGACTGTTCAGAAACCATTGCCATTATTGCGTTAAAGTATAAAAAAACAAAGAATAAATAGTGTAAAACAAGAACTCACAGTTTTCTCATGTTTGTATGGCTCTGGCACTTTGGTGAGGTTGAATTCACAGGTGGAGTATATCTGGAAATAAAACACAGTCATCTGTAAATAGTATTAAAGACAATGAAAACATAGAAAGACTGGAAGCAAGGAGTATGAGAATTGAACACACACCCCTACCAGTGGACTAGCCCCATACTGTAGTGGCTCTGTGTGGCCCAAGGGCTTCAGAAACAGAGATGGGAACTGACCATATTCATGGTGAGGAAACATGAAAACACATAAATTACAGTATCATTCTGTGGCAACAGTCAAATGTATTTACATATTGGACATATAAAAGACTTCACCACATATAAGAATCCTACCCTCAGTGTGTAGTAGATATTATTGCTCTTCTCGTATTGTGAAATGACCAGTGTGTAGAGGGAGGTGCCGGGATCCTTGACAGAGATCTTGCATAGATAATGTGGACTGTTGATTCTCACTCCATCAATGTATGGCCTGGGGTCATCTAGGAGAAACAACAGAGGTATGGTCAGTTGCGTTTATGTACATAACGTTTATGTCATCTTAATGATGAAAGTTCAACTTGGTAATTTCTACTTTCACCAATGTACCAGTAACAATTTTCCTGCCTGCAGCTGGTTATGAAATTGTCAGAATGAAGAATAAATGCTGTGATATAGCTATTAACAATGATAGCTTTAAACAATGTCTAGAGTTAGAAGTTCAAGGGTTAGGTATAAAAGTTGATCGGTGTAATATAGCCAGCTGCCGCCGCGCCGTGTGCCTGCGAAGCTGGTGTGTTATGCCGAAAGGCGGTTATACCGGCTATACAGAGACAGAAAATGTTGACTTTGTGATTCTTATCCCCAATATAAGACACAATTCTCTGTGAAGATTCTTTGACTCAACAAAAGCACAGGGACTTTCGTATGGCCTACTACAATGGAGATCGAACAAAACTAAATACATGATTTAATTTGATTTGTACAATGTATACATGTATTCCATTACTGACTAAACATATTGGAGTGTTTCTGTGAAAATGGACAGATAGACTTACTTGGATAGAAGACTTTCCTCCCACCAGTCTTGTACACCAAGTTAGTGATGTACTCTTTGTTCACAGCAAAGTCATCCTGAAAGAATTCTTTTGGTCAACAATTGCAGATCTTGTGTGGAAAACTAACACTGTTGACATGTATTGCAAGTTCTCAATATTTGTAATACATATTTGCAAAGATGTTGATAGAAAATAACAGGAGGGCTTGAAGTGAGAGGACAGTCTGACTGTACACAATCATGGACATATATGCAACGAATTTCCCAGTACATGTACTTCTGAACAAGGCTGTTATTGTATTGCACTGAGTAGTATCCTTCATTGTAAAAGCAATTAGCCTTCGGGCACGATTTTGAAAATAAAGTTTCAATTATGTAAAGATCCCTCACATCAAGGACATTAATATATAGAATTCCTCACATCAAAGAACAGTTCACAAAATTTCATTCAAAATCAGCTCATTTTGTAAAAAAAATGTAAACATCAATAACCATCTACAGTATGTAACCACAACAGGGTAAAGTATATCAGAATTGCCTCCAACACTGTGTAACAAAGGGTAAAGTCCTAAGGCAGCCCCCTTACCTTGTCTGTGATGTGTCTGGTCAGTAGGACCCACACAGCTGCACCACCCTTGGGCCCTTTAACCTCCAGTCTGTACTGAGGGTTATCACCCAGGGAGTACAGGTCCTTCTTGGGACCTTCTTTGGCCAGCCACACACTGGGGAGAAATACAATAACACAATCATGTAGTAAGCTTCATCAATGGACTTACATACAGTACTTATTTGTGAGTACAGTGGAGTCTCATCTCATCTCATCTATTGCTTGTAGTCTATAGTAATTATTTGACTGCTGGGCCACCACAGACAAGTTTTCTCCACTATTCTGTATATTCTGTGAATTCTTCTTAATATTTCACATAGAGTCATGTCTGTCCATTCTCTGATATTACCCTCCCCTCAGTCCCATCTCTTCTGTTGTCTACCCCTCTCTCTTCCTCCTTGGTCTGTTTCTTGCAAAGTACTTTTGGCTAGTAGCGATGACTGCAACACATGGCCATATCACTTTTAGTTTCTGTTTCTCTACCCTGGTTAGGAGGTCTTTTAATGGATCTGCTTTGTTTGATGGAACATGACTATCTCAAAGTAAGTCCATGACGAATTGCTGGCAAGTCATTTCAGACATGTGTATCAAGAGGCCTATTTATATATTTTCTATGTACATGTATATTCCCATTGTCTGTTGTAACTCTTATGCTAATAAATTTTGTAGCTTGATGAAAAATGTCAGAAGGTTTTGCTTACTCGTGCATGCATGTGGTGAACCTGAACATTTCAGGGTTCCAGTTGATGTAGATGACATCAAAGAAGTGACACAGGGAGTCATAGTCAATCCAGAACACACCTACAACACATGGAATAAGGTCAGAAACTAATAGTATACATGTGATAGTTTCATTTGTCTTGTAACCCACATAGCATGTGTATGTAACTTTTTACCTACTTAAAAAATGTCTGATTTCAAAGACTACATAATATGTAATTTCATAATTCCCTTTAGATTGTGCAATGCATCACACTGTAGCGAAATGCAACAAATGCGGATGTAATTACGCCACCGCAGGGCAAGAAAAGTCAAGTGTCTGTGACCTGATGAAGATTATTTGAAAAACTTTTGTGTAAAAAATGCATGAGGGTTAAAGTCTGCTAAAACAGACCATTGTCATACGACTGTGCAGTCTTGACGTCGTAGTTAAAGGCCTTCTGCAGCTCAGGTGTCCACCTGTCGCTGTCCTGCTCCGAGTACCGTCCCTTCCACCTCAGGTGGCTCCAAGGGTTCTTCAGCTGGATCATCTTAAGACCCTGACCAAGAACAAGAAACTTCATATCACAAGAAACAAACACAAGAAGCTTCATATCACTTGAAAAGTATATATCATTAACTCTCGACATCTTGATTCAATTTGTGAGCACCCTACTAATAACCCTGATACTGGTTCCCTGTTCACAACAAAACTTGTAGTCTTTCCGCATACAATAACTGTTAGAATATAAGAGATTGAAAGACCACAAGAAAGGAAACCAAAAGGATGCTACCTTTTTCCCTTCCAATACTGACTTGCCTACTACATTTCTTCTGCTGAAATTTGTCTACAAACACACAATCAATTTCAAACCAATTTCAAAAACATTTTAGGATTACTGATATCATAACCTTGGCAATAATAATATGGTAAGATACAGCAGAAGATTTGACTTTCCACTGACCTTGTGTTCCCTGATGTCCAACAGTGCGTAGGCATGAGTACACACCAGTCCTGTTCTGTCCTCATCTGCCTTACTGATCTCACCTAGAACACACAAACTCATCATAGTTACACAATCATGCATACATGACAAAATTATCTCAGCAGATGTACCGTGTCTTGCTTTGCCTCTAGAGATGCCTGCATGATTTCCTAATTTGTTTGCCTTCCATTATGAACATTAAAGACAAAAAAATGCATCCCCAGAAAATGTACATTGTACAAACTTCAGGTACCAGGAAATATGATGTTATTATAATAATTTGTAAATAAGCCATAGAGTCTGACATAGATCTATGAATACACTTTGAGCAGAGGTCTATTTCTTTTAGCCCATCTTGTTCTTAACTATACTGATAGATCAAGGGCTAAAAAATCAAAATCTTCATTAGCAAAGCTCCTTGTTATAAAAAATGTAACCTTATTCTTGTCGATCCTTCGAGCAAACTCCTGTCTTGTTAATAATCTTGTTTTTAAAACTTTCATTCACACATGTACACAATTTAATCCTGTCAGACATTTCTTTTTATAAAAGTGTTGTAATGGAAACTTCTGTGCAATTCAGTGACTTCTGCAAGACTAATCTTTTATTCCGAATAAACCAATGATGATGATGATGATGATGATGATGATGATGAAAAATCAGATTATATAGTGTGACGGTTAATTACCTGTTGCCACGGTTATGAGGCACTCGCCCTTGTGGAAGCGAGACTTCATCATGTTGAAGACTCCATTCTTGTTGAAGTCGTCGGAGCCCTCCCTGATCGGCACCCTCTCCGGGATCCAGCCGGTCAGCGCGTGGAGGTCAATGTTCTGGGGACAAACAGACCGTCATGTTTCCAAAAATAGTTTCATCAGGTTGGTAAAGTGTAGGATACAGAAGTTTTCTTTTACACAACCAAGATGGTTAACATTGCTGACAGTTTGGTGTCTATCAGACACCTTCCTCAGAACTACATTGGCTATGTACATAAAGCGGCGAGAAGCAGAACTACAGTTAAAAGCTCTGAGGAAGGTGTCTGATACGTCAGCAAGCTTAAGGTAAACAATCTTGGTTGGGTAAAAGAAAACTCCTGTATCGTATCAGAGAGTCATGTTCAAAACTTTAAGTCAATGAAGTTTAAACATCAATTTCAAGATGATTAATTTTGAAAAAAATTTTGAGATTCTTTCAAAGAATCTTGAGATGTTTTGAGATTATCTGAAACAATATTGAGATTTTTAAAAAAGATCTTGGGCTTGTTTTGAAAAATCTTGAGATTGTTTGAAAAAAATATCCAGATTTTCCAGAAAAATCTTGAGATTTTTCAATATTTGATGACTCCCGCTGGGGGCCGTTATGATCTGTCTGGTGATCATGACAGGGAAGTTGTCCACAAAATATCAGCCATGTAAGTATAAGCTGAAAACAGCTAGAAGTATTTGTCCTAAGTGCTGACTAGATTCTCCAAGTTGAATGTTGACACTGGACATGAATGCGGAAGTAACTACGCCACCGCAGGGCAAACAAAGTCAAGGGTCTATTACCTTATTAAGACATGAAATTATTGAAAAATATTGTGTAAAAAATGCCAGCAGGACAAGGGTTAAAGATTAAACTTTGACTGTCTTACCGAATTTGAGCCTGGAAAGTCGTAGCCTCCCATAACCTAAGAACAACAACAGAAATGTGAGCAAAATCGTCTAAACGAGAAAGCAGTGAATTTACTAGTAACTGTTACAGTGCATGTGGAAGACTACATCTTAAGAGACTGTCATTAGTGTAGCCTGGGTGCAATCCTCCATAGTTTCGTGTTCAGCGACATTAGGGAGTTGGCGTGAACTACGGAGGATGGCACCCAGGCCACCATAAGTGAACCCACCTTCATGTAGGCCTTCTCCAGGAGGGAGACCCAGAGTTCATTCCTGTTGTTGGAGAAGGAACACAGCAGTTCTCCGTACTGGTCCATTGGCAGGAAGTCATCTATTATCACCTGGGAAAACACTTTTCCTGTCACTGATTATGTCGTAAACACCTCAGAATCTAATTTAATCTAAGCTATTAAACATGTACAGCTAATTTTCTACAAACCACGCTCTATGAATTTTTACTGATTTGTTTTAGGCTATTTTCTCCAAGCTAAACCTTTGGGTAAACTTATTATTACCTTCACAAAGAAGGTTATGTTTTCAGTAGCGTTTGTCCGTCCGTCTGTCTGTCTGCAAACAGCATAACTCAAGAAGCATTTGTCATGAAACCTGGTAGGTGGGTTGGTCTTGATGAGACCTAGAAATTATAAAATTTTGCCCCCCCCCACCCCGCCGGCTTTTGTTGGTACTGCAGCAGAAGTTTCGGTTTTGATATCACATGACCTGGGCAATGTAGGGTCATGAATTTTGGATGGTAGATAGCTCTTGAGCTAGGGAAGAAGTGACATGAGTTCGGGGCCCTAGCAGCTTGTATTATGTTTGTAGTTGCTGTGGGGTAAGGACCAGAAGTTGCTGCACCAGCTGAGTTTTATTGAGGATGGCATGACCTTGTCTGTGAAGATGCTACCCTGTGGAACCCAGGCACTGGACAGCTGGAGGTCAAGGGGCAAACAGGCCATGGTCAGCTCACCTCACAACACCAGTGACCAGGAAAAACAACTCCCAAGGTGTGTTCTCTTTCACGTTTACCTTTGCAGAAGGTTATGTTTACCTTCACAGAAGGAAAACATAAAAAATACTGTTTTTGGTTGGTTTCTTCTTTTTCTTCTTTAGAACAAAAAATTAAGTCAATGACCTGGACCAGATGTCTGTTACCATGGTAACTAGTGCTATAACACCCTGGTGTTGGGTAACTTAATGTAGCAGAACAGAGTTGAAGAGGCTGTTCACTATACAGTCATAATTATGAATCTATTTGAGTAAGAATATTAAAATAGAGCAGTAGTTGAGCTAGACCAGCAGGTGAAGGTAAAAGTCATGTATTATTTTTCTTTGCAAATGTTATCCTCTAGTTTCACTTGAGCAATATTCACAATATTGAAGGTATGACAGTTGAGTGGGACTCCTTTTGCTACTCTACACACCTGGTAGTATCTGGAGCCAACATAAGTGTTGTCATTATAATTATAATAAGCTACAAATACAATGTAATAAGTTGTTAGTTGTTGATGAATCAGGAATAAAGAATATCATATAACTCAGTTGTTCAATATCATGCATTTTACTTAATATACAGACATTTTTTCAGTACTCACCATTTTTATTGTCACTATTCAGTCCAAGTCCAAGACACAATAACATGACGAATAGTGTTGCATAATACATTGTACCCATTGGGCATGCAACTTATACTTTTTGTATTGTGAACCATGAAATAAATATTATTTCATATAGGGAAAAAATGCACCAAAATTGATAAATCTCAAAACTACTTCTCGGTAGAATAATCAGTTGTCTGTTTAAAGTGCATTAATTCTGGATAACCGGTAAGTTTTGAATAATTCAACACTTCCAGTTCAGAAATCAATCATACCGCTTTCAAACGGCATCTCTTTGATTTGAGCTCTCAGTCCTTGAGGGGCATACATGGCATTCATGTACTGATGAAAAAGTGCCTTTAGGAGACTCATTTTAAATAATGGCATTTTTCATCAGTACATGGCATTTTTGCATGTTATGCCATGTATTCCCCTCACAGGCTGAGAGCTTGGATCAAAGCGATGCAGTTTGAAAGTGGTATGCTTGTGGGGTCTGTTCAGACTTCTCAACATCAATCATTTTAACTTGCATTTAATAGTTCATCCATTTTACGGTTTGTTTGATTTAAGTCATTAAAACATAGTCTGACAAACTTACTGAATCTGATTCTGAATTCATTTGATAAATTTTTGTAAAAAAAATTGTATTTAGATGGTTTATTTCTCAGTCAAGTACAGTCTAGTGAAAAAATTGTAATTATTGTTTATTTCTCTGTCAGTGAAAAAACAGTACCAAGTGTTGGGCTATAGAGTATGTTGCACCTCACAGCCATAGGCACACCATAGTTGAACACAGCACATGCAAATTGTTAATAAAATGATGATGCCACAATATTTAAAATACTAGATTTCTATAACAACGAGATATAATAAATACATCAATGTACAATGACAATACATCTCTAGGCAGCTAAGGGTCTAAGGATGATCCACTATACAGAGATGTGCTGTTCTCACTCTCATTCTGTCCGTGAGCTGTGTTGTACAGCCTGTGAGATGTGCTGTTCTCGCTCTCATTCTGTCCGTGAGCTGTGTTGTACAGCCTGTGAGATGTGCTGTTCTCGCTCTCATTCTGTCTGTGAGCTGTGTTGTACAGCCTGTGAGATGTGCTGTTCTCGCTCTCATTCTGTCCATGAGCTGTGTTGTACAGCCTGTGAGATGTACTGTCTCGCTCTCATTCTGCCTGTGAGCTGTGTTGTACAGCCTATGAGATGTGCTGGTCTCATTCTCATTCTGTCCTTGAGCTGTGTTGTACAGCCTGTGAGATGTGCTGTTCTCGCTCTCATTCTGTCCATGAGCTGTGTTGTACAGCCTGTGAGATGTACTGTCCTCAGCACCAATGTGCTGTGAGCCACTCCTGTGCAGCGTCCCACTGACACTTGGGACCTCCTTCCCCTCCATTCCGTAAGGACCCCTGTTGTCTCTTGATGACAAACAGCCTCTTTCATAGGTTGGCTTGATGTTGGCCTCTTTTGGCAGTGACTGACCCCTTGATCGTCTGACTGGTTGAGTGCCGTTTATTGCCTGTTTGTTGGTGACATTTGTCAGTGCCATATAACCTGCTAGTGTATGGTCTCTTGGCAGTGACTGGCCCCTTGGTTGTGTGGCGTCTGTCGTCTGTTGGTTAGTGACATTTGTCAGTGACATATAACCTGCTAGTGTATAATCTCTTGGCAGTGACTGGCCCCTTGGTTGTGTAGCGTTTGTTGTCCGTTGGTTAGTGACATTTGTCAGTGACATATAACCTGCTAGTGTATGGTCTCTTGGCAGTGACTGGCCCCTTGGTTGTGTGACGTTTGTTGTCCGTTGGTTAGTGACATTTGTCAGTGACATATAACCTGCCCTCATGCAGCCTCTTGGCAGTGACTGAACCCTTGGTTGGGTGACTGGATGCATGACGTCTGATGTCAGGTGCGGCCGTGGGTCTTCATCGTGGGTCACTGCGTATGGTTGAAGCTGTGGCCCTGGGTCTTCATTAATGAAGGTCGTTGCATACGGCGCAAGCTTGCCATTTTTCCCTTTCCCCGACACATCCATGTATGACACAGCATACGGCTCAATGTCATCGTTCTCTTCAATTGGCTGGATGTCATCGTTGTCTGGTTCTGTTGGCTGTATGTTAGCAAAGGAAGTTGTTGCGTACGGTGCAAGCTTGCCGTTTTTCCCTTTCCCAGACACATCCATGTATGACACAGCGTATGGCTCAATGTCATCATTCTCTTCAATTGGCTGGATGTCATCGTTGTCTGGTTCCGTTGGCTGTATGTTAGCAAAGGAAGTTGTTGCGTACGGTGCAAGCTTGCCGTTTTTCCCTTTCCCAGACACATCCATGTATGACACAGCGTACGGCTCAATGTCATCGTTGCCTTCTGATGTCTGGTCCTCAACAGGACTCGGTCGTCTGCCTGTGACTGAGTCTCTGTCCGAAGGGGTGGAGTTTCCATCCGTTTCAGCAGGGGCGTTGTGACGGGCCATACCTGTGCTGTGACAGCGTTCGTACAAGCAGAAGACAACCACCCATACCAACACCATGAGGAGGGGCACAGTAACAGCCATGATGATGGCATTGACGTGGTAACTGTCGTCCTCCTCGGTGAGGATTGGGCCAAAACTTGGGAGAGTGACAATTTCAGTCCCGGTTGTAGCCTGGCTTGGTGTAGCCTGGTACTCTGAACCTGGGGTGGCATTTGTGTATGGTATCTCTGTGGGAATGGTGTCGTTGTACAGACTGGTGTAGTTGTACAGACTGGTGTGGTTGTACAGACTTGTGTGGTCCCGGGTATGCGGACCTGTTGCGGTGGACGTTTCATCGCATCTCCCTGACCTGATGTCCTGTGGTGACCAGCCTGTGTTGGTCTGACTGATGTCCTTCCTCACGGTGGCAAGCAGAATGCCACTCAGGTTGGCAGGTGACGCACACTTCAGGGAGTCACTGGCATAGATGTAATCCAACTCTGGCAGATGACAGATGAACCAGGTGAGATTCGCGTCACATTTCAGCGGGTTTTTTGCTAACAAAAGCCGTAAGGCCCTCAGACGCAGGACTTGGCTGTCGATCGTGGTGATGTGGTTTGTTTCCAGGCCTGCAACCTTAAGTGCTGAAAGCGGCAGGAGTGCGTTGACAGGCACGGAACTCAGACGGTTCTCTTTCAACTGCAACTTTGCGAGAAGAGGTAGGCTGCGGAATGCATGCTGGGATATGATGGAAATGGCGTTCCTGTCGAGGTCCAGGTTTGTTACCCTCTCAAGCCCAAGGAAGGTATCAGGTTCTGAGGATAAAAAAACAGAATAAAGTTATTTTAAGTTTGCAGGGATTTTTTTGTAGTATGTATTGAGTATCAAGATTAAGTAATTATTGATAAATTATTATGTACTAATCTTGTATAGTTGTTTATAATAATTTTATTCCTTTTTGTGCCTGCCTAATATGTATAATTCAGCAACAATGTATTTTAAATTTGTGTATTGTTATGAATCAAAACAATAATAAACCAATCAGCAACCCACACCACATAAAGTTGGACCAGATCGAGCTGAATAGATTATTAACAAGGCAGAATTAATCTGGTCAACTTCACATTTGTATAATCCACCTGGCAATGTGGATTGCAGCTGAGCCGGATACATGTACACATTGTGGGTGGCAGATCAATTGTAGCTAATCTATTCAGCTCGATCCTGTACAAATCTATCCTAGTGGGGAAGCTTAAGGGGCCTACAAAATAACATTACATTTATTTACAAAT